CTTTGGGGTTGACTTCTTGTTTTGCTAATTCTTTCAGTTGTGATGTTAAGTTGTTAATTTGAGAACTTTCTAACTTTTTGATGTGGGTATCTGGTGCTATGAATTTCCCACTTAACACTGCCTTAGCTGTGTCCCAGTGATTCTAGTATGTTGTACCTTTGTTATCATTATTTTCAAAGAATCTCTTGTTTTCTGCCTTAATTTCATTGTTTGTGCAAAAGTCATTTAGGAGCATGTTGTTTGATCTCCATGTAATTGCATGGTTTTGAGTGATTTTCATGTCCTTGACTTCTATTATTATTGGACTGTGGTTCAAGAGTATGTTTGGTATGATTTTGGTTGTTTTGTATTTGCTGAGGATTGTTTTATGTTCAATTATGTGGTCAATTTTATTGATGTATTTGTTTGTTATTGTATTTATGTATTTATTTAGTTATTTCGAGACAAGGTCTCATTCTGTCACCCAGGTTGGGGTTCACTGGTGCAGTCTTGGCTCACTGTAATCTTTGCTCCCCAGGCTCATGCGATCCTCCTACCTCAGCCTCCTGAAGTAGCTGAGACCACAGGCACACACCATCACACCCGACTTTTTTTTATTATTATTATTTTTAGTAGAGACAGGGTCTCCTCATGTTGCCCAGTCTGGTCTCAAACTCCTGAGCTCAAGCAATCTGCCCATCTTGCTCTCCCAATATGATGGGATTACAGGCATGAGCTACCACACCTGGCCTTGTGTGGTTGATTTTAGAGTATGTGTCATGTGTGGCAATGAGAATAATGTATATTCTTTTGTTTTGGGGTGGAGAGTTTGTAGAAGTCTATCAGATCCACTTGGTCTAATCTTGAGTTCAGGTCCTGAATATTTTTGTTAATTTTCTGCCTCAATGATCTTTCTAATACTGTCATTGGAATGTTGAAGTCTCCCATTATTATGGAGACTATTAAAAATTCAAATGCTGTTTTTTGACTTTCTGGTAATAGCCAGGCTACAGAGGAAAGGGAAGACTGCAGAGGAAAGGGAATGCTTATAAATTTCTAGTGACTGTGGAAAGCAGCTTGGAGATTTCTCAAATAACTTAAAACAGAGCTACCTTTTGACTCAGCAACCTCATTACTGAATATATACCCAAAAGAAAAGACACATGCACTTGTATATTCATCACTGCACTATTTACAATAGCAAAAACATGAAATCAACCTAGATGCCCATCAATGATAGCTTGGATAAAGAAAATGTAGTACATATACATCAAGGAATGCTAAGAAAAGTTACCTTTTACAACACAAACCATATCACAACACTCCCTCCCTTAAAATTCTTCAACTATTTTCTTATTTTACTTAAATAAATATCAAACTTATTTCTGTAGTTTACCACTTCCCATGTGTTCCCCTGATTTCATCTCTCATTCTGCTGCTTCGCATCCACTCTCTAGCAACTCTGGCATTCTTGTTGTTCCTCTGACAAATCAAAACCATTTATTCGTAGGGAATTTCCATTTGCTATTTTTCTCTGCTTGGATTTGTTTTTCTCAGCTATTTAAATGGTTAGAAGCTATTCATTATTCTTTCATGTCTCTACTCAAATGTCATCCGTTTAAAGGGATTTTTGACCACCCTCTATCCTAGTTACCCTTTATTCATTTAAATAGAATATTATCTTTATAGCACTTGTCATGATCTATAGCCTTTAAAAAAATACTTGTGTTAATCTCCCTTTCACATAAAGTACAAGTTCTATGAATGCTGAAACTTACTCACTGATATATTCTCAGAGTCCAGAGCCATCCCTAGCTTAATAGTAATAAAAAATAAAAATAGGTGTTCTTTCATGAATAACCAAACATAAGTAGGCATTTCTGAATTTAAATACTGGTTAAAATTGGACTTTTAACATAACTTTGGAAATCTTATAGACTATAACTATGCAAAACAATGTAAATCAATTTTCATATAGTCTGTGCTGCTTTTAAAAAAATACAGTTAAGTTACCCTGGTTCATCAATGACATAAGAAGAAATAGCCTTTCACTGGCTATAAAATGTCACAAAGTTTTCAATGTATTTATTCTCTATCTAAGACAAGAGAGAAACTCATTAGTAATTATAATCCCGTATTTCTAAAATATCACCTGGATTTGCCAAATATGTGAAATTAAAGCTGCATATCCCTGCGCAAAATAATGATATTGAGACAAACAGAAGCTCACTGTTTCCTTTCAATCTATCCTTGAAAATCAGACAAAAAGTTGTTAACCCTGCTGTAAAGGTGCCGTGGAATACCTTGACAATTAAGCCACTCAAAGCTGAGAATAACAGTGAAGTCGACTGATTCAGCAGGATACCACTCTTCCCAGACAAGTGTGACCAAAATAAGAGTTTCTGCAAATCTGTTGAGGAGGATGCATTTTTCCATTGTGAATGACTACATCAAATGTTGTCTCAGAAGGGGGAGATAAAGAAAGAAATTAAATATTCTAGATACAGGATAATGATTTATTCACATTTGGAAAACCTATAGTCAAATAGGTTCCTATGTTTTGGTTATAGAAAGTAAACACATTTTCTAATCAAGGAACTACTTTTAAATTCTGGCACACCAAGCACATTTTGGTAAGGACCAACTCTTCATATTATAGTACTAGAAATACACAATATATACACTACAGAAGCTGATCCAATTATGTGGCCAAAACTCAGGGAGTATGTCTTTGGTTATATATGCTAATTTTAGTTTACCACATATTTACTTAGCATCCACTGTTCCAAGCATGGAAGATACGGAGGTAAATAATGTCATATCCTTTTACTGGGAAGCTGTTTCAAAAGGGATCATTTAACTACCATGCAGCAAGTACTAAAACAAGGGTTTGATTGTCTTGAATAATAATCAACATATATGGAAGAGTCACAAAAGATATCCTGGAATAGTAAACACAAGAGAAAATATACAAGGTTTGAGATAATATTCCAGAACAAAACACTAGCCTTGAAACATAAATCAACAAAGAAGAAAAGGGTATTCTAGGAAGTGGTAATAACATGCTTGGATGCCTAATGTGTCGTCAGACTTAATAGTGAATTAATCATTTGTACACCAGTGAAAGATGGTGTACAATTTCCATGTGATGCAGTGAAATAAAAAGCTTCCATACTGTTGGAAGGTAAAGTTCTAAGCAGAGTTTAGTGGAACATGAGACTTAACTGATAATCTTGGGTAGGTCTAAAAGGCCATTACACATTAGTTGTGATTAGTGGGAGAATCAAAATTATTGAAAAACCTCCACTTTGGAAATCTAGTTGTTACCCACCTGTAACACCATATCCTAGTCATTTGTTGTTATAAACTTAGTTACACTGAAGTGGAAGTTCTTAATCTTATAGCAAAGGAAAGAGAACACTTGGTCATGGCTGATAAAAAAGGAGATAGCTGGCTGGCTGCAGTGGCTGACACTTGTAATCCCAGCACTTTGGGAGGCTGAGGCAGGTGGATAGTCTGAGGTCAGGAGTTTGAAACTAGCCTGGACAACATGGTGAAATACCGTCTCTACTACAAATACAAAAATTAGCCAGACATAGTGGTGGGCGCCTGTAATCCCAGCTACTCAGGAGGCTGAGGCAGGAGAATCGCTTGAACCCGGGAGACGGAGGTTGCAGTGAGCTTAGATCATGCCACTGCACTCCAGCCTGGGTGACAGAAGGAGAATTCCATCTCAAAAAAAAAAAAAAAAAAAAAAAGGAGATAGCTTGACAGGACAATGATTCAAAGGGCATACCTGTCTACCACTATCCTGTTGATTACTAGCAAGTTGAATTCCTTGCAAATGAAGCCCACAGACAGTCAAATCAGGCTTTATGAGATAGTAGTCCCAGAAAGCTCTAAGTCTGGTAAATAAGAACCCTGCTATATTTTTTAATAGATGATAAAACTCACTGAGGTTAGAGACTGTGGATACTTTGACCACCATCTTATAACTAGTACCTAAATCAATACTCAGCATATTATAAGTGCTCAGAAAATAATTGTTGAATGAATAAATAATTCAAAGACCTTCTAAATGAAATTAAGTTGAAATTGAAAGATAAATAGGACATTTTGGGCCCTCTGTCAAAAAATAAACTATTGGTAAATTTCTGGAGGTGAGGGACAGTAAATATAGAGGGAATTGTGAGATCAGTACAGTTCTAGTGGTCTTAGACATTTCAGGAGAGGAAAATACATTTATAATAAACACTACAGAAGAAAAAAGAGAGGTTCAGTATAAAACAGAACACTTGGTGACACTGTGGTAGTATAGAGGGCTTATGGAGATAATGAGTACGAAAATGTACTCATCTTCATAGATGTATGACTTTTCCTCACAATACTCAGTAGCCTAGATATGGAGAAGAGACTTATATTCAAATGATTCAAATTTGTTCTAATACTGTTTCCATTTCAAAATTCTAAGAAGTGATTACCAGAGGTATGTAAATATGAAAATATGATATTAATATTATGTATTTTAGATTGGTAAAATTAAAAAATAATTTAGTGGAAAAGTAAAATGCTTCTTCGATACAATTGTTAAAAGAAAAACTTCTGGCAAATTACATTTAAAGAAGTTTAATTGATCAATGAACCATTCACGAATTGGGTAGCCCCCAGAATTACAGCAGATTCAGCCAGACTCCCATGCAGCCATGTGGGGGAAGAAGATTTATAGACGAAAGAAGGCAAGAGACATACAGAAACTGGAAGTAAGGTATAGAAATAGCTGGATTGGTTACAGGTTGGCTTTGTCTTATTTGAACACTTAGCAGTGTATGAGTGGTTGAAGTATGGCTGCTGCAATTGGCCAAGACTCAGCTATTGTCACAGGCACATACTTCTAAGTTAGGTTTTCAATCTTGTCTGCCTATTAAGCTAGGTTACAGTTCATCCACAAGGACTCAAATATTAAGGTACAGAGTCCTTCTCAAGCCATATTTAGTTTGCTTTAACACAATTTATTTTAAATAAATGTTTAGGAATGAGAATTTTATTATTAAAGAACTTAAGAACTTGTAAAAAAGATTATCTTATGCTTTTACTTTATTTATTTGTAGCCCATGACTTTATTTCTTGGAATAAAAGATTTATTTTTCCTTGAAAAAAACTGGAGTACTGTTGTATATGGTAGATACAGTAGGAGTGATAAATGTTTTGAATATAATTGTTTTGAATATAATTATTTAAGTGCAATTTTTTAAATCTTAAAAAAGTATTTATTTTATATACTGTTAAAATAGACATAATATTAGGAAAGATGTATATTAGGTTTTTATGTCCTTTTTATGCAGTTGTACTTGTACTTCAGCAGTTTTTAAAAAGTTGGTCCTGTGGCTTGCTCATGTCATAAGATTTAATAGTTAATTAATCATTCGTACACCAGTGGAAGATGGCTTAATCAATATCAGAAATATAGCCTTTACTAAAACATTGTACACTTTGAATAAACCCCTCTTATGAACTGAGAGTCATATTTCTTAAAACATTAAACCAATAGCATTAAATTTGGTTTGGAATTAGAGTGATCTCAGAATCATATCTGACCAGTCTAACCCAAAATGTGCCCATCTATACCTTCACATCTATGCAATAAACTCATCTAATACATTATTAACACAGGTTGAAAATAATAATGGACCAAGAATTAATTTTTTATGTGCAATATGAATCTTCAGTCTTGTACTTCACAAGAAGCAAATGAAATTTTCTAAACCAGTCAAGAGATTGGAGACAAAAATGATAAAAATAAGGAATCTAATTTCAAAGAATTTCTTAGTGAAATCAACTTACTGAAATGGTTCAGAACAATAATGATACTTACAGATGTGTGGTGAGTAGAACAATAAGCACAAAGGAATCATCACTTTAACACTGGTTTGCTTTTTGAGCAACTTTTGAGCAACATTCTGCTTTGCTGAATCCTATCTTTACAATGTAGGGTCCACTTCCCAAAGTTCTTAAAAGAGGCAATTAAGATGCTGGAAGAAAGTTCAAATATTTACAACTAGACAGTTGTTTGCTATTTTAAAGTCTTATTTTGATAAAAATTAATGCTTAGCGTTATAGTATTTTGCAAACCCTTGTCTCCATTCTTTAGCCATAAGAAAGCATAGGAATATATGTGATATGCCCGAAATCACCCCTATGGGAGGGTTCTTGAAACATAGTTCAAATTTTCTTTATTGAACTGAGAATTATTTCTATTTTCAAAAAAAAAGAAGAAGAAAATACACACACACACGCATACACACACAAGAGAAACACAATCCTCATCTACATACATATGTATATGTAAATAAGTTTTAGAGAGCGCATATTGCTGCTTCTAAGTGCAAACTTTAGAATGTTTCTTACGTGGCAGCAAGAACCACAGGATCCATGAAAAGGTAAGGCTTTCTGTTGGCTGTGTTATATGTTCCCAGTGCTTTGAAGAATGAGTGGTATGATCTAGGCCCTTTATAAGGAGTCAATTAATTTTACTAAATATGTCTTCATTTGGATGCAAGTAACTGAAAACCAAAGAGCATAGAGTTTTCGTCACTTTTGTTTGACCCTAATCCTCTTTTTGGAAAAGTTATGTTACCAGAAGAGTCATGCAATGATTTTTCTAAGAAATAAATTTTTGAGTTGTGGTTCATGTAGAAATCACTTGTCTTGAACACTTTGTACTCTTTAAATGCATATATTTTGGAGAGTGCCTTAATACTTAATTCGAGAGTAGATTTGTCACTGGCTAGTTATGATATGTGCTCTTAAGTGAGAAATTTCTCTCCTTGACCAAACTTAAGCCAGGCTTTTCTGAGCCCTTTTCTTGACTAGGCCTCCACCTTTGCTATAAAGACTTGAAAAAACATTAACATAGGTTCTAACAGCTCAAGGCCACATCTCTAACATAATTCAAGCCCCCCTTAAACTGTCTGCCTGAGAAGACTCAAGTCTGACCCCAAAATTTTACAGTTGGTTTCAGCCAACCCCTGAGGATAGGGCCTCTGTCTTCCATTCCCTGTGTGAGGATAGAATACTAACTTTGATAATTGCCTGCTGGCAGACACAGCTAGCTTAATACCATTTACTCTGGGTGACCCTTTGTAATTCTTCGCTTCCCTGATTCAACTGATCCCTTACTCTCTCCTCTCCCTAGTTCCTCATTCTTAATTTAAATACTCAGTAATCTCTATACAAATTGAAGCTGAGTTCAGTCTACACTGGACAATTTTTTCTATTGTAATAGCTATTATTGATTAAAATCTTTCCATATCACTTGAGTGTGCAGATTGGTGTATATTTGAAACAAGCTATCATTTAACATTTTAGAGTCTCAGTTTCCTCATTTGTAAAGTGTGGATACTAATTACCAGTATACAGTTTTATAGGATTGCTGAGAGGGTGAAATAATACATGCCATGAACCTTGTCCAGTTTTCAAACAGAAATTAGAAATGCTTTTGCCATTTTCCTTTTACTTTGCCCATGGTGATACGTTTTATATGACAATTCCAAACACGAATTTTCATAAAACCAGACAATAAGTAGTATGTCCAACTGGCTTCTAGAATATTGAAACAATACATTACATACCATACACTCAAATGCATTTAGATTGTCCTGAGCACATTTTAATATTTTCTCACTAATGAAGTAAGTGCCTGTCTCTCATTCTTCCCCTACCACCTTTATGTATGGTCATAGTACTACACATTTTCAAGTTTCATATGCTAGGCCTAATGCATCATGTCCTTTGCTCCTTAACAGCAGAATAAATATTCAGAAGCAGGATATATGCCTGAATTTCCAAGAGCATTCAAAAATAATGATCACATAGAGAAGGTCATGAATGTGTTCTGAGCCCGGAGTCCTCCATTGAACTACTGGGCAGAACAAGTGTGCTAGCTGTCTCCCTAAACTCAGAAGAGTTGTCTATAGACAACACCATAGATGGCATGTTAAACAATCATGTATGGTAGACAGCATGGACTGCCTATGAAATTGCTTTAGGTAGACACGCACCCACTACTTGTCTCTGACTCTCTTCTCTCATATTGCTGACTTTGTATCCTAGCTTCTGATTTCTGCTTTTGGACTCTTAAGATTTCAACTTCATATGCTTCACTCTGTTCTCTACTAGAATTTCCATTCAGCATGATGGACATTGCTTATGTTAATGTTCCCTCTGCACGGACTTCCTTTAACAGCCTGAAAATGCGGACTCTTTGTCTCCTCTTTCAGAAGAAAAAACTGACAGGAGTAGATGAAGAGCTGTGATGGACAGAATAAACATTTTCTGATTGTGATTTTCCTAAACTCAGATGATAATAGTTAGAGGGAAAAAAGAGAGAAAATAGAAGTATGTAAAGGCAAGCACCTGGATAGTGCACAGGAGAAATGTGAGAATGCCATGATTGATCCCACAATCATCTAGCAATGAGGATTATATAATGGTGAGGAGACTTTCCCTTTGCACTGTTGTTATTTAAATAGTTAATAACTTTTATTTCATATTATATTATTTGTATTCCATAACGCTTTTGGAAGTTTAAAATCTGGATATTTATTTATAAAGGAATACTTATTCTTCACCTACAAACAGGGTTGATACATCATATTGTAAAAAATATTAGAGTAAAGACTTACTGGCTTCTATTCCACTTGTTTAGAGTTTTTTGTTTTATACTGTTGTTTATATAGTTTCTCTATATCCATCGATCATCCAGTGATTCAGGCACAGTGAATGAAATGGGAATCTAGTTACCAGAATTGGGGTAAAAGTATGTTGTGAACAGATAACATTTTATTATGAGGGCTAAGGCACAAATTTAAAGACTGTTTAACAAGTGGTAGCTGAGTTTCAGATTATTGGGTTAAAATTCTTTCAGCTCCTATTGAATTTGACAGGCTATAATAAATTGAGAGAGGGTGTGAAGCATGATAGGGAATGTGCTATGACTTGACCTCTGCTGTAGACAAGAGATGGTATTAATGGGAACACGGAAAATGCTACCAGTTTTCCATGAAATGTGGAGGCAAATCATGAAAAGCATTAATAAACATAATTCCAAGTGCATGTATTCACTTTGTATCTCTGTGTTATATTTTGGTAATTCTTGAAATATTTCAAACTTTTCATTATTATTGTATCTATTATGATGATCTGTAATCAGTGATCTTGATGTTGCTATAATAATTGCTTTGCGATGCCAGAAATCACTTCCATGAAAGATGGCAGGCTTAATCAATATATGTGTGTGTTCTGATTGCTCCACCAAGTGGCCATTTCCCTGTCTCTCTTCCCTCCCTGGGCCTCCCTATACCCTGAGACACAACAGTATTGAAATTAGGCCAATTAATAACCCAATAGTGGCCTCTAAGTGTTCAAGTGAAAGAAAGAGCTGTACATCTCTCACTTTCAGTCTAAAGCTAGAAATGATTAAGCTTAATGAGAAAGGCATGTCAAAAGCCAAGACAGGCCAAAAGCAAAGCCTTCTGTGACAAATATTTAGCCAAACTGTGAGTGCAAATGCACAGTTTGTGAAGGAAATTAAAAGTGCTACTCCAGTGCGTGGATGAATAATAAGAAAGTGAAACAGCTTTATTGCTGATATGGAGAAAGGTTTAGTGGTGTAGATAAAAGATCAAACCAGCTACAACATTCCCTTAACCAAGGCCCCATACAAAGCCTTAACTACAAAGCCTTAACTTTGTTTAATTCTACGAAGGCCAAGAGACGTGAGGAAGCTTCAGAAAAAAATGTTTGAAGGTAGCAGAGGTTGGTTCATGGCATTTAGGAAAATAAGCCATCTTCATAACATGAAAGTGCAATGTGAAGTTCCAAGTGTAGATGTAGAAGCTGCAGCAAGTTATCAAGATCTTGCTAGTATAATAGATGAAGGTGACCACTAAATAACAGATTTTCGTTGTAGATAAAACAGTCTTATATTGGAAGAAGATGCCATCTAGGACATTCATAGTTAGAGAGGAGAAGTCAATACCTGGCTTCAAAGCTTCAAAAAACAGGCTGACTCTTTCATTAGGGATTAATGCAACTGATGACTTTAAGTTGAAGCCAATGCCCATTTACCATTCAAAAAATTCTAGGGCCCTTAAGAATTATGCTAAATTTACTCTGCTAGTGCTCTCTAAATGGAAGAACAAAGCCTGGATGACAGTACATCTGCTTATAGCATGGTTTACTAAATATTTTAAACTCACTGTTAAGACCTACTGCTCTAACAACAAAAAAAGAGATTCCTTTCAAAATAGTATGCTCATTGACAATGCAATAAGAGACCCAAGAACTGTGATGAAAATGTACAAGATTAATGTTGTTTTCATGCCTGCAAACACACTATTCATTCTGGAGTCCGTGGACTGAGGAGTGATTTTGACTCTCAAGTCTTATTATTTAAGAAATCAATTTTATAGGGCTACAGCTGCCATAGACAGCAATTTGTCCGATGAAACTGGCAAAACAAATTGAAAGCCTTCTAGAGAGGATTCATGATATCTAAAATATATTTTAAATAACATTTAAGAACATCTGTGATTCAAGGGGGGAGGTCAAAATATCATTAACAAAATTTGGAAGAAGTTGATTCCAACTCACATGGATGACTCTGAGGGGCTCAAGATTACTGAAGGAAGTCACTGCAGATGTGGTGGAAATAGCAAGAAAACCAGAATTAGGAGCGACCTATGGAAATGTGACTGAATTGCTGCAATCTCATAACAAAACTTGAGTGGATAAGGAATTTCATTTGATGGATGAGCAAAGAAAGTGGTTTCTTGAGATAAAATGTACTCCCAGTGAAGATACTGTGAACATTGCTGAAATTTAGAACAAAGGATTTAGAATATTACATAAACTTAGTTGACAAAACAGCAACCAGGTTTGTGAGGATTAACTCTAATTTTAAAAGAAGATCGACTGTTGGTAAAATGCTATCGAACAGCATCACCTTCCAGGGAGAAACGTTTTGTGAAAG